AATAACTGCCTTGATATTCACTATTAGACAATTACTTGATGCCTCTCCATCTCTTTCTTTCTCTCAACCAAATTTTGGATTTATTTCCAACGGTGCTTTTTAAATTTTTTTTCTTATTTGGTAACACTTCTTCCTGTCCCCCTGGGCCGTATTCACCACAAGCACTTGGCTAAGCGTGTTCATTAGCTGCCTCGGCATCATTAACACAGAGGCATGCTGGGAAAGAAAGTACCAATGACCCTCCTCAGAGCGGTGGACTACAGCCTCTGATTCCTCCTTCAGGATGTACATATATCTTCATTAGGGCCCCTCTCTCTCTCTGCAGAAGTATGAGTGTCATTTAATTTCAAACCATAAAATGTATGAATTTGCTGGTTTACTCAGCACCAACAACCCCCTTGATGAAAGAAAAATGAATAAATATGTATATATTCAAAACATGACTGACTGCTAAATATAGGCATTCACCTTAGTTTAAAATTTACAGAATACTGCTAAAGTTATTGTATACTAGAATATACAGTATATTCAGGGATTTGAGTTGTTGTGGTGTAACCTCCTTTCTTCCGCTGTGTTGTTTCTGCTGAGAAGCACAGACATCACCATTACAAAGTGGCATATGCCCTTTGTCCGTCAGCAATTGGTGTGTGCAATGGAGGAAACATTTTAGAAGAAAGGGGGTGTGAAGTTTGCCAACATCAATCTTGTTTCAAATTGAACTGCAAAGTTCCAGCTGAATGAATTGCCTTTCAAATGCAGCAGGCCATGGCTACACACATTCAATCCCGAAGTGAATCTGATTTGATCCCAAAGAGCCCTACAAAGGCACAACCCACTGATTGATAAAGCGAACTGAGGGGTGATGAGGGTAAAAGAACAAAAAAAAAAAAAAAAAAAAGGGAGCCAAGTCAATGGAGAAGAGGGTAAAGAAAGACAGAAAAGCCAATACAGCCAAGGAAAGGCAGAACAGGGGAAAAGGACGAGAGACAGAAAGCAAAAAGGGAAAAACAGTTTTAATGGGAAATAAAATAACTATGACTTGAGTTGTTCTACAGGGCCCATTTAATGTTGGTACACAAGTTCAAAAGATGTGAAAAGCCGGGTGGCGAGCAAGAGCGAACAAAGATGTGCGCCTCCGATAACAGATAGCTCAACTTTATGTGTGGGTGGTAACAATTTTCTAAACACAAAGCACTCGATGGTGCTAAAGGTGAAATACCCGCCTTGACATCAGTGACTGAGGAGAAGCTTTAAGTGTAACACATTTTCAAGTCACAAGAGAAGGTGCTACATTTTCCCACACTAGAACAGAATGTTGCATGTCATATAAAAAAATATTTTTATAAGTGTATTAATGCTCACTGAATAGAAGCTATAGGATGTTATATATATATAATATTCCACTTTACTTGTTGCATTATATATATTGCATATAGTGTATGTATATTATTTAATTTTTATTATATTGTATTCTTTCTCTACTCTTTGCACTACATTCCCCTGTGCTGCTGTGCCAAATTTGAAGTTCCCCTATGGGCGATCAATAAAGGAGCATTACATCTTATCTTATCATAGAATGATAGAACCATGTTGCAAGCTTAGCTTAAAACAAGATTAATCACTGAGCTGCTCTTTAAATGGACAAATAGCTTCATTGTCATTTTTACTGCAATATGATTTCAATGAGTCATTAGCTTACACTGGAAGGATGAATCACTGTGGCTTTATTGCTATATCAGCGAAACACTCTTAATGGGAAAATTGTTTAATCTGTACTAAAAATCTAATTCTTATGTAGTTTCAGCAGTAGTTTCTAAAAATGGTAATCTATGATTCTGTCAGGTGAAAAGCAATAATGTCCTTCTGATTTTGAGTAAAATAAAGCCAGTTCCAAATCCTAAACTATTTGTGGACATTTTTCACTTGCTGCTTTCTTTATAACTTTTTTTGTCATAGCTGTGTGCCTGTTAATGTCGGATTAATAAATGAATACATATATACATATATTTATAAACAATCATAATTTGTTTCATATTTTATTGAATATTTTATTGTAATGTGGTTACAATGACATCAGTGGAGTCCACTAACATGTCAATACAATGTAACATGTAAATAACATATCTCCCATATTTACTTATTATATATATATAAATAAATTATGAAACTGCCTCTTTTAAATCGCTGTTGCATTTTGCAGAGCTTTTTTGATTTGTGATGTGGAAAGCATGCTTAACTTGGTTACTTTTTTAAAACACGTGGCTGCCTCTGTTGTCCTGAAGTGAGAAGTCAATGTTGCCAGCATGACTTTATAAGTGACATGTCTATGGTCTTCAGAGTACCTAATAACTGACATGTGTTACATTTTCAATCAGGCCAAAGAACCATTTTATAATAAATGACAAAGAAAAAAATAAATAAAAAGCCACTTTTAGAAGATTGAAGCCGAGCTTAAAATCCCTCTTGATTATCATTTCCTTTTCTTGGAGAAACTCATTAAACAGTGAGACTCATAAAAGCAGCGGGGGAGATGACAGTCCTGCATTCTCAGTTGTTTTAGAGGCCTCTGAGCGCAATAAGCATCTGAAAATTGGGGGCTGTTAAAGTGATTCTTGTTTTTTTCTTTTACTGCCTAAGTGTTGTTCTTCAACAATGCAAGTAACAAGCAAGAATCCCAAAGAACGTGAAGTTAACAGAAGCCTTTTTGCACCATTTTCTGAGGGCAGCTCTGCAGGGAAGGCATTTACACCTGCTTGCCTCATCTTTCACGATACACTAGTCCCCTGAAGTGTGCTCTACTTAAAAATATCCACGTCTAAGATGTGGCAAAGATGGAGGTACCACAAAGAAGCAAAGGAGAAAAAAGACAACAAGTGTGTATGTGTGTGTACTGTAAAAGACACGGTGGCAATATCCCAGACAAATGAAGTCAGTTTTCACCAGCGACTTGTTTGTCAAATCAGCACAAATGGATTTGTGGTCCATGGTTACGTTCAGAAGTTACAATGAGAGTGCACGACCTCAGGAATTAATCTTGCACGCCTCTGTCTCGCCACCTGAACCCCCAACGGTGATTTAAACCACACTAATACCAGTTAACCAACTTTACTTGAGATGAAGTCTCGCTACCCAAATAGGTCAGATTCAAAGCCTAAATAAGGCGGGGATCTTTTTGACAAAATGTTTAATGTTCGAGCGCACTTATTGTCACATATCCTCAGATGGCATGCGTTTGAAACGCTATACTGCATGAATCATGAAACAGAGGAAAGAGAAAAACAAATGAACAACTATCTCATTTTTCGGAAGATCCCATCTAACACCTTTTTTGCAATACCATCTACATCAAAGCCCTTCTCATTGACTTTCAACTTCACTGACGGGGTGGGGGGGTGGGGTGAGTAGATATCAAACATTAAACAGCATTTTTCATTCATGAGCAAATCATGTTCTGTTTCAACAATAGAGGAAAAAGAGCTGATTCAGTGAAGTCGCTGCAGGGGTAATTGATAGGGATCCAGCAAAGGTAACTCCCAGGGGAAATGCTGGATCATGAATTTCTACCCTGCCAGCGGGAACATGGACTATCTATAGAGATTTTTTTTTTAAAACCCCAGTGGGTGAGAAAGTGAATTTAATAAAGAATTTAAAAGGACATTTAAAGCTGAATTAAAACCATGTGTCTGTGGAACTCCAAATGTTAAGTTGTATTTCACTTCAAGAATCTATCTGAAAGTGTATTTTATAGCAGCAGTGCTCTGCAAACCTCTTGCTGATTTACTATCACTAAATAACTCACTCAATAACAATTTATGAATCACATAAAAGAATGAAAATACTTAAATATGGATTGCAAATGTGTCAGAAATGTCCGACTGTCAATTACATGTCACGGAGCACATTTTAAAACATACAGAGTCTGGCAGATATCCTCTAGTGAAAGATGAAAGGCCTATCCCTGCCACTTCATTAAGCCTTGCAACAACTGCTCTTTCCTTCCCACATTCTCCCTCCATCTGTATTATGCTGGCAAATCACCTTGCGGCAGCTGAGGCAAAATTGCTATTTATTTCACAGAACAAAAAAAAGAGATGAGTCTAGTTTGTCGACCTGGGGGCTGTGAGAGATAGCAAGAAACTGCTGGCGGGCTGATGGTGTCCAAACAGACGGTGGGTATATGGGGAAAAGTTGGAGGACTCTGCATAGATATGTCCACACACCCTGACAGAGATTTGACTGTTCTGCGCTTGACAGGCCTCTGACTTCTCCCCTCGCACTGCTGCAAGAATAAGAGGGGTACACACATACACACACTGTCAAAGAAGTGGAAAAACACTAAAATTGTCATGGGAGGAATACATCAAGTGCCTTCACACACCCTCTTCTATAAAAAAAAAAAAAAAAAAAACTCTGTATTGCTTGTGTTATTCATCTGCAAGTTAGGTAGCCTGGTTGTGTATCTGAGAAACAAACTGGCCAGGACAAGGAAACTCCCAGAGCTTCCTTCACAAAAGCCTTCCATCTTCCTCAATGGAGGACTGGTCTACTGGACTGGAAAAGGCAAGAAGCAAACCAAGCATAACTGGCCCTTCGGTTCACACACATATGTGCAAGTTCAAGTTTGTGCACATCCACGTACACACACACAAAACACTGAACAGTCTGAAACTACTCAATGGGTACAAAGAACAAATACATTGAGGAGCCACATTGCATTTCTAGCTTTTACAGAGACACAAACAAATTCAAACACTGCAGCAAGCCTTGGTTCCCCTAATTGGCACAGAGATTTGACTTGAGAGCATACATAGATGGTGTTCAAATGTAGTGAGAAATAGCGCATGGTTTTAAGATAATTAACATTTCAGTGAGAAAAAAAAAATATTTCTTAAAGTGTCACAAGATGAAAGTGTCTTGGCATCTATTACCGGAGAGGCTAAATGAAGCGTGTGTGTGTAGATTAATTAAGGAAGAGGTGAAGAGAGATGACGCCTCCTTACCTTTGCTCTGTGAGGAGAAGTAGAGGGAGAGCTGAGCAAATAGGTCAGGATTCTCAAACTTCTCTTCTTTGACTTTGATCCAGAAGCAATTCTCTGCCATTTCCTGAGGCACTATCTGCAATGACACAAGGATTCCATTATCACCACAATCAGAGACTGCCATTCCACCAACCTGCCACTCAAAAAGTTCTTCTCACTGGAGATGGGGTTTCTGTTTTTTTTTTCTGTGCATGGACACACACATGCCCTTGTGTGTGCATCCTTAGCGTTTGAGTAGCAAACAATGAACAAAAAAGATAAAACAATAAATTAATTTTAATCACATGAATAGGACCATGCTAAATGATCATGTGTGGATAGATCCTGAGTAAACCAGACACACCAAAGCCCCCTGTTGACCTCCCCTGAGATGAATGAAATATGCAAATTTCAGTTCACTCAGCAAACCTGTTTATACACCCCTCCTACATAGACTTGCCTGAAACAGCAAAGCCACTTAGAAGCAACCAAGCACCTACACACACTGTGGTGATAGCAGGCCACAGGGATGCTGTCTCACCCCTCCTCTTTCATTCCCTCCGCTCAGTAGACGAGAGAGAGAGAGAGAGAGAGAGAGAGAGAGAGAGAGAGAGAGAGAGAGAGAGAGAGAGTCTACAGAGAGATTCAGACATAAACAAACCCACCTAATATGTTGCACTTATTACAAGCTAATAATACTACGTATCCTGTACATAGTGCTAAGTGAGAGCTCTTAGTGTGACACTGTTGTGGCTTTTTACTGAGGGCCTGGAATAGCAGTTTGCCTATTGTACTTCTGCCCTTAACCTCCTCAGAACCACAGTAATCACATACAGAAAAAGTACAACACTTAGGCAATACAGACAGAGATCCAACTGACACAGGGCAATCATTCCCAAGGCTATATAGAAACGGTGATAAGTGTAACAGTGTTGTAGAGTCCTGTAAAATGACAGGTGCTTTAATGGGATGCTTGTGAAGCATTCAACATGAGATGGTGTTGGTGTTGAGTGTAGACAACAAATTGTCTCTATACTCTTATTTGCTCTCATACAATCCACTCAAAGTCCTTGAAAGTAGTCTATGTCATGTCTGTGATTCAGAGACAGCACCACGTCTACTACTACTACTACTGATAGTAATAATAGCAGTAATAAAACGCAGCACATCTCGAATTTAAAAGTCCCCGGTAACTCCCTTTAATTTTGAGAATACATATAATATTTTTCTTATGCTCTATAAAACTTTAAAAGGCCTGGCGCTGCAATTCATCACTGACATTTTCATTTGTTATGAGCCCATCATACCTGGACTGGAAATTGGTAACATTAACTATAAATGGAAGAGACAGACCTGAAATATGACACTAAACATTTAAAATTAAACTATGTACCGTTAATTCGGTTATGATTATCTGAAGTACAAAAGTAAATGCTGTAAAATATGTATGATACTGAGTGCAAAGCAATTATCAATTTACTTTACTTACAGTTGTTATCTATTTCTATAATCTACTTTCTGTGTATAAATTATCCCTAATTTAAAGCATGTAATAAAAACAAAATATGTATGTATAGAGGTGATTTCCCACACATGTAATAAACTTAAACTAAAGATAAAGAAAACGCTAGTGGCAAGTAATGCAGTGAAACCTAAAACCTATTCCACTCAAAAATCTGTCTATCTGTGCAACTCTATCCCAGCTGCATTGGCTGTCCATACATTTATGCATTCAGAAGTGAATTCATTAACTACAAGTATACCAGTCATTATCTACGATATTCAACCATGGAAAACGAGGGCTGAAAACTGTACCAATTTACATAATCTAATTTCCATTACTTTTCCCCCCACAGTCCACCCACGTTTCACAGGTTTTGAACACAGCCCTTCACAACATTCTTTCTCTGACCAATAGGAGATTCATGGCTAGCAAACATATAGATGATAATACATTAGATACTCTCTTGATTAGTGAAACAAGTTTGAATGCAACTGGTTGTTTTACACTTGCTGAAGCTTCAACCCCTAATTACTATTTTCAGATCACCTTATCTGTCAAGGTTATTTTGGTGATGCACACAATTTTGATACCTTGCCTTAAGTATTGAATGTGATCCAGTTACAGTGTACCGACCTCCCAGGCATAACAGTACATTTCTGAATGAGTCTGCAGATACCCTGTCTAAGATCTTCTCTAGTTACAAGTGGTGGCTTCAATATCCACAGTGACAGATGAGCCCACCCATCAATGTGGCCATTCCATTGATTGCGCTATCTCCCTAGACACGGATGTTAAAGAAACTACTATTAAAGACATTGCTATTACAGATGATTGCTTTTATTTACTTCCTTTAAGTTACATTTGCCACAAAACATTTCTGTTCTATGCCACCAGCTTCATCATCATCCTTTAATGCTAAGTGTGATGATCCTGTTTCTGCTTTTCACTACAATCTGCTGGAAAATATAGACATTGCTACAGCACTGAGAACCAAAAATGTTTCGGGCCAAATTTAAGCTCCATGGAGAAGTGTTGGCAATTAAAGATGGACTGCCGTAAAGCTGAGCGGAGATGAAGGAGAACTTAACTAAAGCTATACAGTACAAATTTGTGCTGCTGAATTAAAACAGAAACATTAAACTAAACAGAAAATCTTACCTCTCAAAATCTTAAAAGCCAAAAATCCCAAATTCCTTGTCTTAACCAACAAACTGATTAATCCTCCTCCAGCTTCTTAGTTAGTTATCTTCCAAAAATAACAATTTTGCCAAACTCTTCAATGATAAAATGTAAGATATCGGGAGCTATCCTCAAAAACCAGCCCAATATGCATAAAGACTTTGATGCTAGTCCCCCCTCTGTGCGGAGTCACATTTAAACATTTCTCCATAGTGAATTTCAGTGAACTCGCTGATGTTATGAGCCAAATTAGATTCTCCAACTCCCCCCTTGAAAATTGCAAATACTTTTAAATACATGCATTTCTGGATTTCTGTTACATTTATTTAAAAGAAGAAAAGTCAGTGTGTGCATCAGAAATACATCTGTGAACCATTTTTCTTTTAATGTGGATTTTATTTACATTTATATAGAATAATAAATATTGTTGTGTGTACTGAATAATATTTTTCTGGACAGAGACATTTATATATAGATCATTAAATACATGTGTGAATCCCTCTGTGTGCATTCATTAATATCAAGACCCATCTGACTCCACAACCAACGGCTTTGGCTCGTTCGAATGCAGCAACCCGTATCCTGACCAGGACTGAAAATGTTTACCCAAATCACCACCACAGCTCTCAAACAACACCACTGGGTCCTTGTTCATCACAGGACTATTTCGATCCTGGTCCACAAAGCACTGAATGGTTCAGATTGTATTATATTCGACATGCTCCCAGTTTATAAACCCAGCAAATTTCTCAGGTCACAGGACAGCCATTTCCGACAACTTCCCAGAGTGCAATAAAAATCTGGCAACAGAGCTTTCAGTGTTTATGCACCTAAAGTGTGAAACATCCAGCCTGCTGGATTAAGGTTTGCACCAACACTATCGTCTTCAAAATACAGTTGAAACCAGAAGTTTACATACACTGTATAAAAAAGACTCTTTTTTTTCTCTCTGTCTGACATTAAATCAGATTAAACTTTTCCTGTTTAAGGTCAGTTAGGATTACCAAAATCATTTCTATTTGCTAAATGCCAGAATAATGAGAGAGAGAATTTTTTATTACTTTCTTGAAAGTCAGAAGTTTACATACATTTCATTAGTATTTGGTACCATTGCCTTTAAACTGTATGACTTGGGTCAAACGTTTTGGATATTCTTCCACAAGCTTCTCACAATAGTTGGCAGGAATTTTGGCCCATTCCTCCTGATAGAACTGGTGTAACTGAGCCAAGTTTGTAGGCCGCCTTGCTCGCACATGCCATTTCAGCTCTGCCCATAAATGTTCAATAGGATTGAGATCAGGGCTTTGTGATGGCCACTCCAAAACATTGACTTTGTTGTCCTTAAGCCACTTTGTAACCAGTTTGGCAGTATGCTTCGGGTCATTGTCCATTTGGAAGACCCATTTGCGCCCAAGCTTTAACTTCCTGGCTGATGTCTTGAGATGTTGCTTCAGTACTTCCACATAATGTTCTTCCCTCATGATGCCATCTATTTTGTGAAGTGCACCAGTCCCTCCTGCAGCAAAACAACCCCTCAACATGATGCTGCCACACCCGTATCTCACAGTTGGGAGGTGGTGTTCTCAGGCTTGCAAGCTTCCCCCTTTTTTCTCCAAACGTAGCGATGGTCATTATGGCCAAACAGTTCGATTTTAGTTTCGTCAGACCACAGGACATGTCTCCAAAAATTAAAGTTTTTGTCCCTGTGTGCATTTGCAAACTGTAATCTGGCTTTTTTATGTTTCTTTTGGAGTAATGGCTTCTTCCTGGCAGAGTGGCCTTTCAGCCCATGTCGGTACAGTACTCGTTTCACTGTGGATAACGACACACTCTTACCAGCTTCAGCCAGCATCTTCACAAGGTCTTTTGCTTTTGTTCTTGGGTTGATATGCACATTTCGGACCAAAGCACGTTCAACTCTGGGACACAGAACCCATCTCCTTCCTGAGCGGTATGATGGCTGGCCATTCCCATGGTGTTTATACTTGCGTATAATTGTTTGAACAGATGAACGTGGCACCTTCAGGCATCTGGAAATTGCACCCAAGGATGAACCAGACTTGTGCAAGTCCACAATTATCTTCCTGATACCTTGGCTGATTTCTTTTGACTTTCCCATGTTACACAAAGAAGCAGTGTGTTTCCGGTGTGCCTTAAAATACATCCACAAGTGTGTCTCTAATTAACTCAAATGTTGTCAATAATCAGAAGCTTCCAAAAGACATGACATCATCATCTGGGCTTTCCCAAATTGTTTAAAGGCATAGTAATCTTAGTGTATGTAAACTTCTGACCTTGAAGAAAGTAATAAAAAAATGTCTTAAAAAAAATCCTTCTCTCATTATTCTGGCATTTAGCAAATAGAAATAATTTTGGTAATCCTAACGGACCTAAAACAGGAAAAGTGATTGTCTGATTTCATGTCAGACAGTGAGAAAAAAAGTGTATGTGTCTTTTTATACAGTGTATATAAACTTCTGGTTTCAACTGTAGGCTTAAGACGATTTTCATTTAATATTACTTTTAATTAGTTTTGTGCTTGTTTGTATTGGTGCTTACATGGCTGTGTGTGTTTACTCTCACTCTCTACTGTTCTATCACTCTGTAAAGCACTTGCTATAGTTTTTGTATAATATTGTGCTTTATAAATAAAGATAGAAAATCATTTTAAAATAAACTTGACATGATTTTCAAAAGGTAAACAAGAATATCAGCCTTCTCTCTAATGTACAAGCTGAAGTCCTTATGCACAGTAAAAAAAAAAGAAAAAACAAAGAAAATAACTGTTTTCCCCCAACAAAATAGGTAAAACAAAGACAAGACAAAACAAATGTTGAACAACATGTACCTTAGTGAGGTAGTAATAAAACAAAACAACCCAAATGACAGATATAAGATGGAAATTGAAATTTACTTTGTGAATTTAGTCAAGATAATAGCACAAGAAATCTAACTTGCCGGGTTGTCACAGCCCATCTTCCTCTTAAGTGAGGTCCTGAATCCAAGGTAAATATAGCAACTATAAACTATGAACTATTCCAAATGTATTTCTTACCACAAAATTTCAAGATGTATTAAATATTATATACATATCACTATTATTATCAGATTATAATTTTAAAAAAAATAGCATAGCTATATTACATAATACTATCTCATGATACTGGCCAACACAAAAATGTATAATGTGAAAAAAGGGGGGCTGGAGAAACTGCCTTGTGTTACACCACAAGATAACCCTAACACTATAACAACAACAATAACAACAATATATATATATAATATATTATATTCAGCCTAAGGCATAACTCTCAGGGTTTTCTGCTAGGCCTGACCAGAATAAAGATGTCATCTTCATTCTGGGGTAAGATAATGTGATTTTAATCCAAGACGCATTTTTTTTTTTCAAATTGAGTGAATATCTCCTCACGGTCTACTAGCTGTCCGTTCTGTGAGCACTGAAAAATAAAACTAGTGTGAGCTCATGCTCTGAAAATGGGAAACAAAGTGGATCAGACCGAGCCACACAACACTAATTTATTATTCCAGGCCAGGATTTGTGTTTCAAGTAACGTTAAATGACTTGCCCATTAAGCTTACTTTCGAGTTTGCCAACAAAGATGTGCTATTGTTGTGTTGTTAGCAATGTTAGCAAGGAAGTTGTGAGTTATTGCGGTCTGGAGCTGGTGTGCTGGCTCTGGGAAACCGTCGAGGCCTCTCTGTATGTTAGCTGAGCAGCAGCAACTTCAGAAAAGATATACAAACCCGCAGCCTAGCTAATGTGCTCTCTATGACCCTGTAAATGATTTCCTTCATCCCAATGCATCCATGCTTCTTTGCCATATATTTTCAGATATCCTTAATTAGCACAATAAGATTATATTAATTTTATTTTACAGGGAATGTATATGCATATTTTGGCATGTGGATCATTCATTTTTTATAGGAATCACTGACACACTACCAAGGAAGAACACGCTGTAAAAAAAATAAGTCATGCTGATTTAAAATGCATTTAGCAGTTAAACAAAGATGACATTTCCCAGTGTGTGCCTGAGCTGATCTACTCCCATGTGAGTGCCTTGTGCTACTACTTCTGACTAAGAATGCACTTCCACCACATTCTTTGCTTGACTGGAAGGCTTGTATTGTAAATCAAACTGTAAAGTAAAAAAATAAAAATAAAAATCTACTTTTTCCTATCAAGTACGCCACTTCAGGTATAGTATGTAAGCATGCATGTATGCCAGACTGTACGTAGATAGATGTATAAGTAGTCAACTGTGTACAGATGACGCAACAAGTCATGAATATTCAGCTGCCCTTCATGTGAAACTACATTGTCTAATAATAACTGCCTCTTTTTCTCATATAAAAGATGATTGGATTCATACACTTATTGGACATGTATGGTGGATAGAGGGGATGTAGGTACAAAAAATAACAAGTATGTTTTCTCTCCCCTTCATTATACAGCCCAAGAATGACGGCTGTATAATAGTTGCTCCTGGTAGTCTCATACTTCAATCTGCTGCACACAGAAAAGACAGACGACTCTTGTCCCACTTAATCGACACAAGAGACACAGATTGTTTTTCCTCAGGTGGTTATGAATTTCATTTGCATTACCAAACTACAATTCCTGTGGAGGCAAGGTTAATGCTCCTGCACATTAACCTGTTTCTGTATACTTCCACGACAATGGGCATTTGCATGTGACTGCATGCACGGATATCATACATGTAAACCAACGTAGATACTGCACAAGAAAATGACACATCATATTTAAAATATCAAGGCACAAACCGCCCCGCACAGTATTAAGAAACTATGTTTTTCTTACTGTTTGCGCACAGGTTTGATATTTCTTTCTGCTGTATAACACTATTAATAACTTTCCTTACTGCTCGAGAAACTCCCACACAGAGTGAAGCATTTGCATACATGGCATTTAAAGAGCCCTTGAGGTGACAGAAAGTCAACCTATAATGTGCTGCTCACAGCACAATAGTCAACATTGACTTCCACATTTCTTTCGCTCATTTATGTTCGTCATTTAGAGGCCTGTTGTTGAATAAATAATGTATCATGGAACCAAAAATATTTCCCACTTGTTTTTTTAGGAACAAAGTGACGAAAATGTGAAGAGATAACTACAATTGCCCTCAACGCATTGAAAAATCATATTAAAAGTTCCTTTCTCCATTTAAAACCATGGAAAAAAGTCCATGGTTTTAATGGCTAATAATAAAGTCGCCTGATGTTTTGATCAGTAAAAACATTGCTGTCAGTAATTGAAGACTAAAACACAAGGCCATACAAACATTGGGAAATAGATTAAATGAATGCTAAGAACTCCTGAGTCAGTGGATAAATTAATGATGGTAAAATAGAGGTCACACGCAAGAAAATGTCCCATTGAAATTGTGTTCAAATGTGATGGAATGTTACACAACCCACTCTTCATTTAATTATGCTAAGAAAGTGCAAATCCAGGGACATTTGAGCAATGGAAATTATTTACTGTTTTATCCTTTGAAATTGGTGGCTGAGTGTGGAATAGTGTAGGCTGTGGCTGAACGGTTGTTTGACTAGATTAAGAGTGCATTTGAATAGAGCTCCTTTTGATTCGGATCTTAAACTTTGCACTTCGAAAACCGTCTATAGCCAGAGCTAAATGTTTGCATGATTGTAAAGAGATTTCATACAATTTCATTTGATTAGTGGAACAATATTTCCCTCACAAATCACCAATACTATAAGTGAACATGAGAATGTTGCAGTGAAACAAAGCTCAGGATTCCATACCTTGGTCCAGTTGACCCTCTTCATCACAGTTTCTGGCTTGTAGGTCTTCTTGGGCTCTAGTCCATAAGGCAGCTTGATGACAGGCAATGCAGGAGGTGGCGGAGGCCCACCTGGGCCCCCAAAGAAAGGCGGAGGAGGTGGGGGCCCACAACCAGGGGGTGGTGGCGGAGGTGGAGGTCCTCCACCTGGGGGCGGAGGTGGCGGTGGAATGGCAGCATGGCCAGGGAGAGGAGGAGGAGGTGGAGGAGGGGGAGGACAACCACCAGGTGGAGGTGGGGGAGGAGGTGGGGGGAGGAGGAGGGGGAGCTGCTGCACCCCCTGGTAAGGGTGGTGGAGGTGGTGCTCCGGGTGCAGTTGGACCTGCTGCAATCTAAAAAAAATAGAAGGTAGAAATGTTAATGATGGCCTACACATCTAACACGCCTCAATCTGATGTCACTGAAGCCATAAGATGTATTTTTTTGTTTTTGCCAGTGAAGAGGAATTTTAGTGCTGCGGAAAACTTTTTGCCACCTGCACGACTGAAATATATTTGTGACTTGCCATGAACTTTGACTGTGGGCAGGGAGCAGGGTGTGTGTGTCAATAGCAGTCGACCAGCTTACTGCATTGTTTTATGTCAGGGACTACTAGCTTCTGTGTGACCTTGCTGTGTTGCTTGTACGCTCAGACAGCATGAGGAGGTCATGGCCTCTGCTCTTCATGAATTTGTGTATTTAATAACCAAAGACCTCATGATCATGAGTTCACCAATAATTTTTGTGTTGAAAAAATCAAGATTATTCCAGATATATACAGATCTGTAAAAAACATCTTCAGAAAATGGCTTCAAAATCTTTGACTCTTGGTCTTTTTTTTTTCTTTAATTATTTGACCAGATATTGTCAATGTCATATTGTCTTATTTGAATAATAATTGTGTAATTACACAAATTTTTTCTAAGCATGTCCTTGCACAGCTGCTTGATTAGGAAAACATGGATATATTTAATGAGTTTAGCTAGTTAAATTAAATCAAAAAACTTTTTGTCATGTTTTTTTGGTGCTTCTTTGTGACACCCAGACTCATTAGTAAAGGACAGACTGGTGATTGTATTAAATTATGGTTTTACACTTTCCACATTAGGACATCAGGTATGTGTTTGGAGAATTTTCTGAAGCTTTTCTTAAGCTGAACTTAAACTCAGAGGCTATTACACTTAAAATTATTATTTAATTCATGTTTTTCTATATTTACTGGTATTTATAGCAATGACTGACATGAAAATACATCACTGGTCACAATTGTGTAATTACAAATTTTGATATACATACTAAGAAAAATGTCTGGATACTGTGGTCAAGTCTATGTCCACACAAAATATATTTGCATGGCATCTCAGTTTCACCGAGAAGGGCAATTGTGTATTTTATACCAAGTGAACTTCAGAGGCAAAAATAAAATAAGCTTGCGTAACACAGGAAACTCTTGGTGACTGTAAAAAGCAATGACTCCGTCTCGGCTCATATTCACATCATGTCAGATGTATAGAAAAAAAATTTAATTAAAACTTGGCTTTATGTATTTCTTTTTTATATTTCCAATATGTTACAGTATCAATTGATGTCTCAAAGTGTGCAGTTGTGTCATAAACAATGCAAAATCATTATTGTCATCAGATAAATCCATAATCATCAATCATATAGCCACAAAAAGCAAGATCTGCTGTGGTTTGTTTATATTTGCCCATTGTAGGTAGAAGTCACATTTAGACCAGTGATGTCTAAATAAATGAATTAATTCTATTAACAAAATGATGCTTCATATAGTGTGAATTGGCCAAGAGGTTGGTTATTGTGTTCAGGTATATTTATCCCCGTTGATATGTCTGTAAATACTCCGCAAAATGTTGGAGAAGAACCTGTGATCGACTACTGTTTTAATTTACAAAAGATAAGGATGTTGCTTTCCCAACCAGTCTTCGTCACGAGTCCTCACAATGGCAGGCTATTACACAGTAGACAGGGATGCAATTAGACCTGAGACTGATAAGACAAAGTCCTTTGACACGTCTACACTATCACACATACCCCATACACAGGTAGTCTGTGATAGTCTTTGATAATGCCAATGGAAAAATGTTTAAGAGGGAAAAAAAAAAAAAAAAGTTATGCAAATACAACAATTACAGACACCAAAGCTCAGACAGGGTTTGATCTTTAAAGCTGATTAGATGCCGGCTCTCACCAAAAAGCATTTCCACTTGCACTTCTCATTTCCAAAACCAATTCCGCAATATGCGCTTTTCCCCCAGTCACTTGATTGTGTGCGTAAATGTGATTGGCTTCATATTTAAAGACATTACGCTGTGTTTCATTAGATAATGGCATCGGCGGATTGTTTATTAGGGCCAAAATTAAAAAGGTGTTCTGAAAGGAGCTTCTTACACTGATCGCCCAAAGTGGAAATCCACATCCAATGATTACATGTCTGTCAATCTTGAGCCCTCTGTGACCTGGTCTCTCTTTTAAGATTAATATGAGAGAATGGAAGGAAATTAGCTGCTAAATTAGAGCGCAGTTGTTTCCATACTGAAGGGCCCTCCGAGTCTTTATCTCTCTCTCCACCTCTCTCTCTCTCTGATCTATCCAATAATAATAGGCCGAGTGTTTCACAGAACCCTTGGGATCCAATACAACTGTGACTGGCTTCTTCTTCCTCAGATACCAAAACAAATATACAAGAAAAAGAAATCCATAAGTTGTAAATTGTGCATTTTGACTTAAAAGATAATTGCAATTTCATACTAAATTCATATGGGATGACAACAGACTTGCTGTTTTGCATTGTAATTAAGTAGCCCATAAATGTTCTGTACCAGTATCTGGGTCTGAATGAATTGCAAACATAGGGACATAGTATAGGGAGAATATTGCATGAATACAATATGTAAGTAGAGTGATTATGTGGGACACAATAAACATGTGTATCTATACAGACACAGAGATTGTACATTTTACAGCCTAGAATTAATTATGAGTTTTAAGATCCCACAAAGGTCTCCTTTCCAATTATTTTTATGGTATGTATTTATTTCCAATATGTATATCATCAATGTGTTAATATGGTGTTCCTCACCAGCATCTCTTTGATGATTTTTGGCTGATGTTACTTTTGCAGAGCGCATCTGGATCTCTGAAGTAAAAGACGAGGCTAATATGAAATCTAACCCATCCAATTTGGATTCATAGTCTTCTGGACTCAATGGGGAGGTCAGCATGGCAGGTAATTAACTCTGAATGCTATGTGATTAAATCTATGCCCCAATCTCATCTCTGATAGAGGAATTCAATCACAGAGTGTTTACTTATGAAAATTGCATTAAACAAGCAGGAAATGTGCATAGTTAAACAACACTACAGAGTTTACCATAGCTTCCATTAATAGAGTTAAACTCTTAAATATATATGTTTTTTTTAGCATGCTATCTTTTTTTGTGGATTACCAATTTAAAGAAACAAAACATTGCATCAGGCATGGTGTTAAATCAGTGTTAATTTCTACCAAACACATCTAATGTTTCCATTTGAGATTCTTTTCTGGAAATTAAAGATGAGAGGCACTGGCTTGTCAGTTCACATCTCAAACATAACTTGAATTACACAGGATATTGAAAACATAGCTTTAGAATTGAATGCACACATGCAGAGGGAGCGGAGAGGACAAAAGATCAGTTCCATAATCAGTTTGAGAATTTCCTCCCACAAAAGATTTGAAGCACTGCAGTCCAATTCATTTAATAAATCACTCGGATTTGCAGGTAATTAAATGTGAGATTATGTCAAGGGCCACACATGCAAAGAGGACACCCACCTTGGCTTCAGATTCCCTGATGAGTCTCTGAGCCTCTTTGAGCTTGTCTTTTTCAATAGTTAACTGTGCAGATACAACACACACACACACACACACACACAGACACAGACACACACACACAGACACACAGACACACACACACACACACACACAGACACACGACACACACACACACACACACACACACACACACACACACACACACACACAACACACACACCATGGGAATACACAACAGACACAGGAGGCAACAGAGAGGCACAAATGAGGGGTGGGTTAGATAGACAGAGAAGAAGAAAACTAGTGCACTAGAACAGGTACAGTACTCACACCAAACACAAAAAAGCTGGAAAAAGAGGCGAGCAGGGGAAAGAGGATGTCTCTTACACAGTTAATGACAATGGTAGTACAGTGTTATATTCCCATTTTGTCTGAATGAGCTATTTGATGTGCAAAAGGCAGAGTGTACTGTACTTTTACACCTAAAACAAGATGTAATCTATCTTCAAAAGAACATCAGTGTAGAGAACTGACTGCAGCATGAAAGGAACAAGGCACAGCATCACTGACAGTTGGTACACCTTCAAAACCCTTCTTCCAGTTCCCTTTTTTTTGGCATCGCAAAATACATTTCAACTTAACACTCTTAGATGTGTGATGGGCATTGATTTCACTCTGTAGTCTTTGTTTTAGAAATGTACCCATTTTGCTTTGATATTTCATTCTGTGCGACCTTGCCAAAAGAAAGATGATGGGAATGTATTCCACAGTGCGGAAGCTGAAGCTGAAGCTGAAATGTAATATTTTTATGGAGTCATTCCTACAGAACACATCTTACTATGGACTGTAGAGAACTAAATATTTAATGTGTATAATGGAAAAGGAAATGGAAACTTTTAGTGGGGTGACTGAAAAAGAACTTTCATTTTGCAAGAATCTTAGAAAATGGCAGTAAAGTGCAACATTTAAAGCAAAGAGACAAGTTTTATTTTATCTTTCATCTTTCATCCTTAGGTATTAAAAGTTAGAGGCTTTGAGATATCTCAGTTTTGAAGAACAAGCCAGAGAGATTTTGAGCAGGTGAAGTAGGGCATGCCTTGCTCTCTGAGAAATCACTTTTGACCACCATTTTCTGTATTAGTGTTCATGAAAATTATACATGTAGAAGACACCTGAATGACAGTGGCTTTAACAGCACATTTTTGGCTCATCTTATAACGGCACATTATAATAGTGACTATATTGTGAGTTTTGCTGTCATTATCAGTTAAGTTAAATTCTGCAATCAGCCGGGGCGGAAGGCAGCCTGGCAGTAAAAGAGAGGAAGTGGTCCACTACACCTCCAGCTCCTCTTGGGGCCAAGCTGGGTCAGCTACAAGACCGCCAGGTTGTTAAAACCTATTAATGGGATGGCGCAGAGTGCTCCAATGTACCACTGCAGTGCTACATTATTCATCACATCCAGAACCAATTCAATGAATAGCTTCTCTTTTTTTTCTTTTTTTTTTTACCTTGACTGGTTGCAAGCAAAGGTTTGGGGAAGGGTGGATGATTTCCACTTGTTGTGATTTCTGTGTCCTTTGTTGATGCTTACAGGCAGAACCTCCACTCAACTCAATTGGGGGATAATCAAACAGACACATCAAACAGGCTGCTTGTTACAATGCCAAAGTTCCCAGAGAAAGACTCTCATTAAATGTGTTGGTTCACAAACAAGGTGAAGGGAAGCGACTCAGGCAAGCCGTGTGTTTTAATATCTGACAGGAATTCTGTCTCGGAGATGAAAGGTTAGGGTTAGCTCCCACTTCATTCATATTCAGCAAAACGGCAGTGATAGCACAGCGGCTTTGATGGACAAACCGAATGCGTGTCCTCACAGCGATTTAAAGGTTCCGCGCTCTCGCAGTTAATGGCTTTCTACAGCGCTGTGTCAAACGTGGATTAAGTTTCAAAACACACTCTTTCAACTTAGTCTTCCCGAAGTAGCAGAATCACAACTGTCTGAGAGGATGACACTGTTGTTTTGTTCATCGCTTGAGGTAGCAATTGAATGTTCTATTTGAACACCTGCCAAAAAAAATAAAATATAAACAGGAGACAACTCTGAATTATTACAGAACTTGCATAATTTAGAAGATTTCTTTGAAAAAAAAAAAAAAACAACAACCTTGAGCCCTGACAGCCCAAAAATCAACTCTAATAGAAATTAAATTGTTGCCAGTGAAAATTACCTGCACTTTTCTTAAACCCGAACAGATTAAATGGATTCACACTCAGTTTATTTATGCTCAACAGCAAGTGTGGCCCTATGGTGCATCTGCTTAATTTGCTGTATTTATGTGCTGTTGAGATGCATAGGGGATATGCTAAAGTCCTTATGGCCACATTCATGCAAGTTCGTGCCAAACAAATTACACATTTCCCTGCTGAGGTTAATGTCTGCTGATGTGCGGCTCTCCAGCAGTAACCGCTCTTTGAAGGAGCATTCAGACAAACAGAGGAAGAGAGGGCTTGACTCTCCAGGGCTTCTCTGCGCTACACTACCTGTTAATGCACCACAGTCAGTCAGTCTTCAAAAGACAGAGGCATGCCAGGGGAGGGTGAGGAGGAGGTGTGTTATAGGGAAGAAAACAGTTGGAAACACAACATAAAAAGCTCTGACAAGGGAAAGAGGGCAAGAAAAGGTAACACAGCCTGATGCATTCATTTCTGACAGGAGGTGAAAGAAGGAGAGAGCAAGGCGGAGCAGGTGGAGAGGAGCTTTAGATTCTGTCTCATTAAAATAGGCGGGTAGTAGTAATCAGAAATAGAGGGGAACAAGTTTGGGTACAAACACAGGTAACAAGTGGCGGCACAAGTTTTAAGGTGAAAAACACTGTGTGACTTTGGGCAGGACAAGAGCCAAAGCTTGTGCTACATCACAGCATTTGTTGTGGGCCTAAGAATGATAGCTAGAGGACTTAAGTGATGCTTGGACCACATATGCAGGTGCAGTTTATCAGACCGGGAGTGCCAACATACTGTAAGCAAAAAGAGATGAATGTTTGACAGAAAAAGCAATCTTTGATATAAATGTAGCTATACCATCTTTCAATGCTGGTTTATATTAAATTCCCTAAGCAGGGAGGCAAACTGCCCTTTTGTCCCAAGGCAGTACTAAAGTGTTTGAAATTGGGTTAAGGGGGAAATAGCAGTCATTTTCTGTACTCAAAATGGACGGGTTTGCCTGGGAAGAAATGATGTGGAGGCCAGAAAAAGAAACGCAATCCATCTCGGTGATGATAGAATTACATAGGAAAAGCTTCAATAGAGCAATTCTCCCATAAAGAGAGCTACAACTTAAGAAGGAGATTGCACCTTTATTAAATCAAAAGTTCTTGCATGGATGATAACTCCCACTTACAGCAGTAGCACATCTGTAAGTGAGGTGGAAAGGTATCCTTCTGACCAAATCAGCCCTCTTTCTAGTGGGCGCCGTTGCTTCTTGTTGCTATTATCTTAAGACAAACATTTTATTCAGTATGAGATTGTATGAGTTGTTTTTCACTTAAAAACAGATTAAAAGGGCCTCTGGACATAGTTTTTCACTATCTTCTTTTTCATGCTTTTTGGGAAAACATACAATATAAAAGATCTCTGGGGGGGTAACAGTGTTCTGCAGACTAGTGGGATTTCGCTTTATGGATTTACCTGGGACTCCAGGGCCTGGATCTTCGCCTCCAGCTCTTTGATTCTCTCTTCCTTCTTTTGAGAGTCAGCCTGGGCCTCCTGCCGTGCACTGAACTCCTCATCAAACTGCAAGAAAAGAGATACAAGCAATGTCTATGTGCACATAACCAACACCTGTACACAGATGTAAACACACACACACACACACACACACACACACACACACACACACACACACACACACACACACACACACACACACACACACACACACACACACACACACACACACACACACAGGTTGGTGAACGGCACAGTGTCTCCAGAGAATGGCCACGGGGCACATCAACAGACACCAAAACACGCTGTCTTACACTCTCTGGCCGATTTCTATTCATAGCTCTCATGGCCCTAGAGCCCCGTTGTCCTTTGTCTTTGTTTCAGGCCGGGCTTTCATGTATGTTGATGGATCTAACCTTTGCAGTAACCAAGCCATGTCACTATAATGATTTCACTGGCCCAGCAGGGTGCATGGTAGGCTGGCGGGACAGGACTCTTAAGAAGAAAACATATCCGGGACCCCCTTGGTGTCGCCAGAGTGAAGCTCCTTAAGATATATTTAAATATTATGCATAATATCCTGGAGGTAAGGTTCTAAATTGGCAGTTGTTTTATTTCTCTCAAATAAATAAAAAACACAATTAATACATAAAGCGAAGGATAAATCAATTGAATTACATTAAAAGGAAATAAAGGATAAAGAGAGACACACCATGAGGCCAACTTAAAATGCAGAGCGTTATCAAAAGCCTCCACATAACTTAACTCTACCCCGGCAGTGTGCACAAATAAGTATACATCTGAACATCGGCACTGATTCTTGTAATGCTGATACGGATCATGTAACGTCACAGCCAGGTATTGATCAGGGCATGGAAAATCAATAGCTTGTCTCTGAGCTCTGAGGAAGAAAAAACTTTCCTGATGGGAGTCGGCCAACCAAGGGGAGCTGTTGGAGTGATTAATGTCTCACCTTTTTGGAGTACTCTGCAGCCTTCTGCTCACTCTCTTCAACTTTGGCTTTATCCACACACTGATCTGCAAGACAAGACAGCCACAGTGACGAGACACTTCAAAGGCAACTCTGGGTGCTTTGCTATTAGACCTGGGTATTGCTTCTCCAAGTATATTAGAGCTCATATGATTGAAAAATCTTTTAAGTATGTTTTTTAAGGCCACCTTAAGTTATAAAGATCTCATGGACCTAACGGACTATTCCATGAAATCTTTACTACTTAAGGTGGGCTTAAAATGGCATAAATCATGGGTGCATTCCACCACATCTAAAAGTGTGTTTGGAGCAGGAAAACCAGCTCTTCACTATCACCTAAATGAGTAATACCTATATAAATAATTAGCACATCAAGGTTTGTTAGTCTATGATTGTACACTATTTAAAGTATCTTTCTATATATTTTTAGATGATATACATTTCTTTAGTGGAGCTGCATATATGTCTCATCAAGGTTGTATAAAACAGACACTTGTAATTAAATGCAAAACTTAATTAAAGATAAAATAAAATGCTCTGTGAAAAAGGACACATTGTGATGAAGGAGCAAGAAGAGAAAAGTGTATTCAGTGTTTTCTCATATATAGTAAAATCTGTCATATGGTGCAACTCTTGGCTCATGCAGATGTGCTAATCGTTTGCCCTCATCCTTTCATCATTACACTCCCACTGACACAGGTGTCATAGTAGAATGAATCATCACCTAAAACTTGTGATCTGTTGTCTGTTGCTTAAGATGTGTGTCTTGAAGAAGAAAAAAATCAGTAGATAAGACTAAATCAGTGTATTTGCACGTTTCTTCCAAGTTGTCTTTAAATAACTGTTGTGTTTTAGCTTAGAGTGCATTTAAAAATCACATATTTTACAATTACACTGTAGATCAATCATTTGAAGGACAATGTATGCGCAATATTTATGCGTAAATGTTCGTTAGATCCCACGTTGCGTAACACATTTTCGATCAGGAAAAAAAATAAACGTTATTAGGAAATGACACCCTCATGTGAATGTGAAAAAAAGCAAAAAACACAAAAGACAGAGGGAAAAAAATGAAAATGGTGGTATGGCACTTTTCAAAAGCACGTGTGGATGTGGCATCTAATTTCACATCTTTTGTGTGAATTTGACAAAACACATCCTTGAAAGTTTTTTATCAACTGATTAAATCTCAGTAAAGTGAGTGAGAAAACTTATTTAATACTGCACCAGTCCTCTGTGGATAGGTTTAGAAACTTTTAATGACCCTTTGTTGGCATGTCACAGAACTGTGTGACACAACAGAGAGAGACAAAGTAGTGTTATTTATTTATTTTCTCTGTTTGAAAAAGATTCTCCATTAGTGATGCAGTGCAAATAGATGTTTTCGCTGTGATTCCAGGAACACGGTTGCCAAATACCCTAACTACAAAAAAAAAAATGTTGTTGTTCTGAATTAACTGAATTCAGATTTGCCAGATATAATGTATTATACTTCAATAATTAGATGACCCCCGTCTTATATGTCAAGCCACTGCAGGTGTCTGTCAGAAGAATCTCAGAGGGATCTGTGAGGATAATGAGAATGACTGCGAGGTATCTAAACATTTTTAGCAACATCAGTGACACTGCAAAAACTGATCCTGAGGATGATTTCAGTGCACTGGGATCACATTTTAAACTTTTTGCCAACACATGCTAAATTAATGAGTGAGAAAAATATGAACAATTCAAAAAATACCAATCAGATGAGTGAAGTCCACGTCCAGTCTTTTACTGTAGCCAAAGTCAGGGTCCATCCCACTGCGATGGAGCACCACCTGAGACACGCATTCTTCTATCACCTTGAAATACTGGGGCCTGAGGGGTCAGAAAACATAAAGCAGAGCAATTAGACAAGCCACAGAAAGATATGAGTGACACAAACTCAACAAGGCTAATTAACCACAAATGATTCCCTTATCCAAGCTAGAGGTCACAAAATGCCATGTCAAAAAGGGTGCTGCTGGAGAAAATAGGCACCCTATTAAATTTGATCACTTGCTTCACTCCGATCATGAAATTAGCAGATTAATGGGCACACAGAACTCAAGTCTGTGTTAGTCTGTCCATTTCAAGGTGACAGACGGTAGCCAAGGCTACGCTTGCCCTCTTGCCTAATTTGCAATCATCTTTGCCAATTAGAGCAACCATAAAAACTGAAATGTAAATCTAATCAGTGTAATGTGTGTAATTGAAAGCACAATGACCGGGAAAACATGTCAGCCAGTTAGGAGTGTGACTGAGTGCTTGGTGTTGTCGAGCAGGGTGTCTGAATCAGGCCGAGAGTCCCATTCCGCCACACAGGTTGGTATGTGACCTTTTCTCAGTAACATTATCAACTTTAATTGCAAGTGACATTTAGCAAATACAATGCCAGCTTAAGCTGAGCTCCAAACTGAGAAATAATTATTTTCTAAGCATGGCATTGACCAGAAGTTGATGTTTAAATTCGCAACATAAAAAACTTTTTTCTTTTTTCATTCCTCAAAAGACTCAAGCTCCATTTGTTGTGTAAATTGGAAGTTTAGATTTGAACTGAGGCACTGGATGTGGAAACTTTACCCTTAATGACGCTCACAAATAATGCCCTAATAAAATTATTAAAGAACAATTCCCTAACCCAGGAACAACAACATCCACGAATGCAAACGCAGTGCACCAGTGCATGTGGGTGTGACCAATGAATTGTTGCAGTTTGTGTGAACGGTTGGGTAATCGCTGGTACAGCACTATAAAGTCTGGAATAGGGGTGGAGTGGGATGAATACATTACTAGAAGGAGGAATACAGCATATATCAGCAGCTGAGGCAGGGACAGCCTTCCGATTCAATAATCACATCAACTCATTTCATCCTTTCATTTCTAGTGGTCACAGCAGAGAATATGTTTCCCAAAGCATAAACACACGCCTAATCTGCTTCCAGTGGAAGCTGATGTTCTTTTAATTTACAGCTAATCCTGATTTTAGAAAACACAGGTATCTTTGCAAACTCCTTGTTTTCACATATAATTTTACATCAGGAAGATGACAAAGTTAACACTGGAAGTTCCACAAATCCCTCTGTAGTTTAATGCCCTTTAAACTTCATGAGATTGTCCAGTAGATTTATATGATAATAAATGAAATCCAGAGATTCCGAGAAGATTTTTATGACAACTCTGATGCAGATAAGGAACTCAAAGTCTGATCAAAGCCTGCCGATCTGATGGCTCTGCATGAAAGCATGAAGCAGCACTAATGTAAGTACGATGTATTAATTGATGTGAGCAGGCGGAGCTGTGAACAAAGTGCCTGTTGTCAGGTGGGTTAATTCTGTGTAATACCAAAAAAGCACATATATCTAGGAATGTGTCCAAATAAAAAAGGAATGTGATGAACTGAATGAAAACGCATTATTAAAAAAATTATTAAATTAAATGAAGTTATTTCTGAGGCTTTAACTCTAACTGTTGCCCAGAAATTCAAAGAATCTGCTCTGTTGGTACCTTCCTTGTGGGTGGACAGGACATATCATGTTATGAACAGAAATATGAAAGAACACAAAATTCTGAGCCAAAGCAAATAAGAATAAATCAGCATTTAGGTGCACTGTTTTGAAAGCATGAAATGCCATACATTAAGCTTGAGCTGGCGGATTCGCCCACTCATGATTGGAACAAGCTAGTGAAAGCTCACACATCGGCCTGCGTGGCTTAAGCACTGTGGCACTCGGCTTACAACTGTCACCAATGTACACCACATTATTATCTCAATAAGCCGCCCTATTTTCCCTGCGTCCTCCATCCTCCGCCACCACCAAGCAGATAGGGGCTGGGCGGAGATAACTAGAGACGGAGAGAGTGACCCAGAACTGTCAGGCCCCTCCACAGTGGGCAGGGCTGGGCTCCAGAAGCTAGCATATGTCCCCTGCATCATTCCCCACCTCTTCTTTTACTTTGGCACCTTCATTTCTTCCAATGATAGCTTGCAGTTCAGCACAGCCCCAGCCACTTGATCCAGCTCTGCTCCACATAACCAGTGTAATCCCCATATCACCAGGCTCCAAAAGAGCAGATCTGCTCTATATTTACTGGGTGGGTTTGATGTGCTCCCATTCATTAGACTTGCAGTGAGAGATTAATTATCAAAAATAAACCAAGCCCCGGAGGGGAGAGCAACAACTAATGTTGTGTTAGGAGGAATGACAGTAGACAGAGCACTTCAACAGTTTGCCCACTGTAGACTTTCTTAGAGTTATTAGAGTACTAATTATATTATTCAATTAAGTGGCATTTAATGTAGATTATTATTTAACACACAAAACAAGGTACCAAGTACCAGCACCAATTCCAATGCATACAATGATAAAAACAACTTAATCCTTTACTTTGGAAAGAATATCATGAGTACACAGGTATTCCTTTGATCACAAATCCAAAGTCTATCACACATTTACACAACATATCTAAAGACTGCCACCATTAAATGAATTTTGAGCCATGCATTGCTACCACATATTTAAAAGCTATTTTTGATTTTGTTCCATACTATTTCACATTCGACCAATTTTGACCACAACATGAAAGGATGATAACTTTAAGGGCAAAGACTGATAAAAGATAGATAGTACATATGTACTATAGAACTGCATCTTCCATCATCCTAACTCACACAGCTGTGATGTATGGGGAATAAAATGCCTCAGTCCAAATGAATTTCTGGTGTTAATGCTTGTGTGTGTACATGTGTGGGTTTGTCCTTGCATTTGTGGAGGTGGCAGGAGAAAAAAAAAAAAACATTTCAAAAACATACCTTTAAAAAGACCATCAGTTTTTTTTTAATGAGAATTGGTACTGATCCCTTCTTATTGCTGGCTTACTGTGAGGTACATGACCGGAGCTGAGCTGGACGTTGCTGTACTAGCTGGTTAATATGAATTCTATTTCTCACTTCCTACGAATAGATGAGGAATACATTATTCATAACTCCAAGGGAACAGCAACTTGTCTATGGTAAATTTCATCTTCCTCCTCTCATCCTCCCTTCATCTTCCAACATTCTTTTTTTTAAGTCTTATTTCTGCAAAAAGGTCTGACACAGCAGTGAATTCATCAGTGTCACTCCATTCAGAGAGGAGTGGTGGCATTCCTGCCCAGTGACTGACACATTTGCTCTTCAAAAGGCAAAGCATAAAGCTAAGCCAACTGTTTTAAATTACTTAAAATACAGAATATTATCCCTACTCTAATAATTTGAGTGATGTCACCTCCAGTAAGTGCACCTAGGATAATTCTCTTTTTAGTGATGACTACAAGCTCTTTTTTTCAGCCTGTGCAGTGCAGCGCCTCAGACTGCACTACTGTGCAACGCTAACAGGGGTGTGGTACAACAGACAACTCCTGACCTCCCCACCTGCAATGTTGGGTGTGGCCAGAGGTTCAACAAATATTATGTGTGATTACGGTTAATGAAGCATTTGTTCAATACAAGGTACAATGTCTTTAACACTTTGTACTAATCCTAAACTGCAGATCACATATGACCAAATGATCTTAATTCAGTGTGCCATCTCCATAAAGCACATTACTTTTAACTGGTGAGTCTGAGGCTGATGGTTTGGTGGTTTTAGTGACTAAAATGTGTGGGGAGGATGGTGCTGTTGTCCTAATCATTGATTATTGGCTTGGATATACGTATGGTTTTATATTATGCTGCAACCTCATCTACATTGTTTTTTATAGGCTAGCATGCTGGGTTTTAGCATTTTGTTTTTGCATTATTTGACCATGTTTTATGTTTCTGTGTTTCACCTGCCTGCGAGATTAATTTTCCACACTCAGACAATGATCTTAAAAGTGAAATTACTAAAAGAGGCAAGCTAAAAGATGTTGCTTTCACAGGCAACAGTTCCAAGTAAATGACACAAAAGTTACAGTAATATAAAGGTGGTTCAAGATATTGATTTTCAAGAATCAATATGTCTCTTACTTTTGGGAGGATAAATGCACAAAACAAATTTCAACCTGGTTTTTACTTGTCAAGATATGTTGGTCAATGACAAACACACCCACAAAGGCAGGAACTATTTGTGTAAATAATGAACAAATAAGTGATCTATGAGGTGTTTCATAAAAATAAAAAAAAACTAACAAATAAAATCACAAGGCTAAGACTATCCAAGCACATTGACATACATTACAGCATGAGGTCCTCAGTCAATAAGAGGCCAGAGGTATGTAAAAATCAGACATAACTTACCTGATGTAATAGTCATTCCTGATGAGCAATAGGTGCTGAAGGACTGACAGGAAGTATGCCTCAGAGCCAGTGTCTTTCACCATATTGGACAGGAGATGGTACACTTCATTCATATCAGTGCAGGAGGAAGGTTAAGGAAAACAACTTCAGAACCGTGTTATTTTTTTAGGTTTCTAAGTTAATTCAGTTAACAGTTAAGGTTAACTTCTCCAGAAAATTCCCCATTTTAGTTCATTGTTTAGATGCATTCAACTCCTTGTAAACATTAAAAATTGTATTAGTTCTTCTTTTATTAATAACTGCTTATCTATTTTCCCCAGTTCCTCACCTTACCTCAGGTTTTCTGACAGGCATCATTGTGCAAAAGCAAACTGAGATGTGATTCTTCTTATCCATTCTCTCTCTCTCTCGGGGGATGCTGAAAACAGTGTAAACAGCTAACTTGAGGAGAGGGACTGGCAATAAAAGAATGCTCCCTCTGGTTTACCTGTCACTCCAAACCTTTCAGAATAGAGGGAATGTTTTACATGAAAAACTTACTGGTTTGAATGTTCAAGGAAAGAATGATGGGGAGCCGATCATTCACGGGGCAAAAATCAACTCAGATTGAAACTGACATGTACTCAAGAGCAAAAATTCATGTTATTAAATTTGCAAAAGGTATTGATTATATGTCTTGTGTTTGTTTTCTGGGAGGAAGTAGTGATGGCTTTGACATCTAAAACAGATGTTGAATCAGACTGTCTTTCTTTTTATTCTTCTATGTTAAAATATGAGATACTGCATATTTTTCTTGATTATTTGCTGAGTATTGGTTTTCAGAAAGTATCTGTTAGCGATGCCTCCTGTTCAAAGAAGCACAAAATGATTGATATTAAGGTTCTTGAATTTAAAACAATGCAAGAACAATATAACATACAGTATAGGTGAACATGCGCAATTTTTATGTTAATAGTTTATTTGTAGTATAAGGTTAATTTAGAAATAATTAAAGTTGTGTATCTCAAACTTCCAATCGCTCCCTAAAAGTGTGGCTCTAAGAAGTAAATAAGAAGAAGAAGAAGAAGAAGAAGAAGAAGCCTTTATTTGTCATTGCACAGGATACAACGATATTACGTTTAAGCAGCCGCTACAGCTGCTGAGGCCGAACGCAGGAAAATGAATGATTTGGAGCCTATTTAATTTGTTTGCTTGAGAAAGGAGGATTTCCCAAAGGAGACTCATCTTGTTTGAAAAAGTGGAATAAGCCTCTCAGATATGTGCCCACATGCAGAAAAAAAGAAGACTAAGGAGACAGTGCCCTGTTAATCTCGTAAATATGAAAACCTGATTGCCCTCATAACACGAAGTGCGGATCCTGACAATGTGCGCTAAAATATTTACATAGTGCAACATACTGAAAGCAAAGAACGGCCATTTTCAACACTGTGGCAGCAACTTTTAGGAACAGAAAACATCTGTTAAATGCACATGCAGAATTTTTTAAAATGTTTTTAAGATGACTGAGCTCAAGAGTTCAGACGGTATTAAACCCAAAGAGTAATAGTAATATTTCTACTACTGCCAACCATAGACTGTATAATTAAAAAAGGATGTAGTCTCTGAGCTTCTCAATGGCTCTGCAGACATGTCACAAAGTGCGGTGGCTCTGGCCATCCCCACAGATGTCCTGACTCTGCCGGCTTCTGGCTAATCCAAAAAGTGGCAAATATGTGAATTGTGGGTGGAGCTGTGACGGGCCAAATGAAGCCTAGTTAACCTGGCGAACAGGGTATTTAGCTAGAGGCTAAAACTGGTTTTGTAACAGGCTGGAAACATATTTATTTCTGCTGTACTGTGCTGTAGTGCTGCTGAAATCACTCACTACTGTAGCCAGCCCCAAGAGGCCATTTGAGGAACTGCAGCTTTTGTTACTTTTGTTACTAGCCACAGAGGTTGCTGCTGGCTGCTAACATGCTATAAAAGCTGATTTCATGGAAAAACTTATGTTATGAGTCCAAAACCTGTGCAAGATTAGCGGCATCCGACTAACACATTTTCAAAAGTGTACCTGTCAATGCTTTATTTGTTTCCTAACATTATTTGTCAGGTTTCATCAACAGCTAATGAAGGATGACTCTGTAAGAGAGTATCAATAATTCAGATAATTTATTTCCTCAATAAAAAAACAAAAACAAACACTCAACTGCATTCTCCATTTCCCATATAATCATCCACACAAAACAATCTGCAGCCGCTGCAATTGGAGAAGATCAATTCTTTTAAACACTGTTTGACACTTTTCCTATTAATTTCAACAATGTCTGTAATTAAACTCCTATCCCGTATCAAATTTTTAAAGAGAGAGAGGGATGGGAATACGGGCTCCTCTACAGTATCATATCCCTCCCTTGTATTAGCTGAGTATGAAGCCTGGGAGAATTACCAATCCTGTGAGATTCAATTATAGCCTCACCACAGCAGCATTTGAGAGGACATGAGAAGGAGCTCAGACTGGGAAAGTATCCAACTAGCTTCATCTATCACTAAGCTGCAGACATAAACCTAATGTAGAATGCCAATCCATTCGATGACACCCCCCTCTATGCTCTCTTTTCTTGCTCTCTATCTCTCTCTCTTTACACTCCCTCTCCAAATAATGAATAAACATGAGTGGCAGTCAAGTGTGACGTAGCCCAGTCAGTGGTGGGGTCAATCAATCACCATTTCACAGCTCATTAATATTTATTAGCGGCCTGGAGTCACCTCCTCGGCACCTGGACCTGGGCCGGACACAGAGGAGACAAGCCTCTTCAGGTTAATATTCATGAAACTGCTGGGAGAAACAAGACACATATGCAATGCACAGGTAGTAGGAGTACTACCTGCGTGATATCATGCATATACACGTGTGTGTGTGTGTGTGTGTGTGTGTGTGTGTGTGTGTGTGTGTGTGCTATGCAGGCAAAGGGACAAAGGGTAGCCAAGGCATTCGAATCATGCTCAGAGCTCACAGATCAATACCGCATTGTCCTTGGAAACAAACATTGGGCCTTCTCATTTGTGAACCTGCTCAAGCACATCATTAATCCAGGTGCACTTTTTTTTTCTCTCCATCTTCTTTCCACACACACACACACACACACACACACACACACACACACACACACACACACACACACACACACACACACACACACACACACACTTATATACAGAACCTCCTTCCCTCACCTGCATGTGTCAACAGAAACTGTCACTCACTGCAGCACTTTGTGCCAGCACTAGAAACTGTGGGATTTGGTGGAAGAAAAAGGTTGTGGGGAATGAACATCTGCATAACAATGTCAGCGTCTGGTTTGTCTGCTCACAATGTCAGCCATTCACACATAGCCTGAGAGAAGATTTGTGAATTATTAAAGGGTTCTTCTCTAGGATGCTCGAAGAAGTTTCCAACTCTGGACTAAATTACTGCTCACCTTATCAACTTTCACTCTGCATGTTTGGAGTTAAACGGACATTGGGGTAGAGCAGGCAGGGGTAGAGAATTCACATTTCTAAAATGGAACAGAAAGACGGGGAGTGACAACACTTGAAGAAAGGAACCCTTGACTATATAATATAATACGACTCCATATAAAGATGTTTAATTGTTTACTGTGCATAGTAAACGGTAAGAAGAGGAAAGCATATGTCTGTTTGATATCTCCCTCTTCAATCTTAACAACAGTCCTACTTAATCCAGACCTAACAAACAAAAAGTGAAGAGAAAAGGAGAAGAGGAGACGAGTAAATAAAAAGAAGAGTGAAGGGGTGGGAGGTTAAGATGACAGGGTTATTTACCTAGTATACCTGGTCAGAGATACAGCTGGATATTGTGCTCCGGCTCTTCAAATCCTTCTCTAATGAACCAAGCCATGAAGGGCTTTAGCCTGTAAAGCTCCGCCAAACCCACAATATACACTCATTTCTCACTGCTGGCTCTGCAGGCCTATTCATCTGTATATTTACACAGAGGAAGGACAAAAAAGGATATTCCATCTCAGCGCGGATGTCATCCAGGCGATGGGAGAGCTCGATAGAGTCCTCTTCCTTGTTCTCATTGAACACCTTCAGCTGGATGTCTAGCTCCTCTGTCTCTTTTAGCTCCTAAAATGAGTTAGACATATAGTAGAAAGATGAAAATAGGAAGTTATACAAAAGGTCATCTTGCAATGTAGATTATGGTAAACAGTCGTAGCACTTACAAAGAATAATTTAGATATAGCTTGTAACAGTTTATTACTCTAGTGTTTGCATTTTTGAATCTTGTCACTTTTATATCTATTGTAAAAACTGTAAAACTAGAGTATTAGTTTCCCTGTTCCAGCTGTACAGAGAATTGGGAACTGAGATGCCCTGAACCCTCTCACTAGGTGTTCCAGACAGTACCGATTCCTGCACACCTGTTCCAGCCACGAGGGGCTACGGCAATGCTCTTCACCACTTCTCTATGAATCACCGGCAGTGCAGTTTACAGATGGAGACAGGGCCAAATGTAACCCAATTTCTGCAGGTATCAATCACCCTGCACTGTTTTTTGGTTGCACCATCTGTCTTGAGCAACAGTGGTTCAACAGGGAGGTGCACAATGCCACAAAAAAAGGAAGGTGGGGAAGGGAGGGAGGCAGGGCCAAATACATGTGTCAAGGACTATAAGAACAAAACAAATTGTGCTTTCTTTTTCAGTGGAGTTCACTTTTTCTTTGCCAACAGCTACGCTGACTCCTGAGCATAACTCATAATTAGATGAAAGAGTGTCAGTTTGAATGTCGTCATTAAAAAGCGGTGAACGTGGCATTCATAAATGACTGTACTCTGAGACCATTTCATATCAGGGGGCAGAATTGAAGATAATTAAAGTAATGACAGTAATAATCAACAGGAGCAGCTGGGATGACTTATTAACAACTGGCTCTGTGACACGTTCACCCCACTCGCTACAAACGAGAGCTTGAGTGATGAGTTGGAGCTCATTTGCCTTCGTCTCATGTGAAGATGTGTAGGCTTGCTGATAATGATGCCAGGACGACCTGCGTGATGAGGCGCTAACACTTTATCACACTTGACACAAGCTACTACTAGTTACACAACTACTACTAAAGTTAATAAAAATAAAACCTATTATTATTTGTGTCATGTGACAAGTATAGACTTTTTTTTTAGATTTTGGATTTTGTGCCACAAAGTTACTAATTCAGTTCTCAAATCTTGTGAATAAGATCTAATTTTACACTATTATTTGGTTTGAAAGTCTGATTGTTTAATTGTTTAATCTTAACACAGTTACATACAAAAAAATAATATCACACGCATTCTAAAGTTGTCTTGTTTTTGCTATTTTACTAGTATGGTAGTACAAAGTATATATGTGAGCCACAACCTGTTTCACAAAGTCAGGAGCAGATCTTGAAGTTCAATGTCCATGCATGTGAATAATCTAACTGTGTGCCGCCTGAACGTTTGATAACTCACAGGTAGGATCTTCTTCAGGCCACATCTTAAGAACTCATTGCGTAGATGTATCCGGAAGTCCAGGTCATCAGGGGAGGTGACCAGGGCATTGATCAGCTGCATGCAAGCAACCTGTGGAGTGTACAGACAAAATGACAGATAGAGAGAAAGAGAGAAACACATGAGACACAAAATAGATATTTCTCACAAAATATATCAATACAAGATGACGTAATTTAACTGTAAATGTTGTGTGTGGTCTGTGTAATATACATATGCGTTTTGGAGTGACCATTTGCTCTCATTTATTCCCTTTCCAAAACCGAAAACTAGAGAAAAATGACTGCAACAATGAGGGTAAAAGGGATAGAGGGAGACCAGAAGAGAGATGGTAGAACGTACAGGTCTGGTGTATCTATTGACTAGATGTGCATTATTAATGGATTTATTGGTAAAGAAAAAGCCTCGAAGTGTGTGTGAGTGTGCGTGAGTGTGCGTGAGTGTGTGTGAGTGTGCGTGTGTGCGCGTTTCTGTGTATGTTGGGTAAAGGAGGGGGTTAAGAGGAAATCGCTGATGAATTATAATGAGCAGTAAGGTGTTTCAGGGGAGCAAGCAATGGATGAGACGGTTTTCCTTGGACAGACAATCGATAGCAGGCTGAAGGATTCCCATGGACGATGTGAAACATTGTCTTCTGAAACCTTGACCCTGTACTGTTGGCTTGTATGCGTTATTAATAAGAGCCACAGCAATGCTGATTCTGTGTGGTTTCCTGGGTCGGTTTTATTCTTTTTCTGGTTTCAAATTTTTATTCTAACACTCATATAAGTGCAGATCCTTTCATGTAATGTCATCTGCATATATGCAAAGGAATTTTTTCCTTTAACTCATTCTCTTGCTTGCCCACACTTTTTGCTCTGTAAACTTAATTTAAAGTCATATATAACTGGTGCTACAATCAGATATATTCATTGTTTTGAGCTTTCTGATATGAACAGTATTGATTTATTTTTCTGTTACTTTAAAGTTGTAGCAGCAGTACAGGTAATAGCCAGGTTATGGGGGTTGGGGGAGCATGTTGGTATGTGATACGGATATCAGATACTGTATATTCCCTTGGGAAAGTGCTAGTTTGTTGCAGTAAAGGATGCAGCACACAATTGAGCATGTGGCACCAGAAACATTGCAGACTTTCCCATGTACCAAAAAAAGCTTGAAGGCCTCTAAGCAAGATCTGTGCATTGAAACCTGACATTTTACTGATCCACCAGAGGCCAGATACATAAAAGAACCTCCACAAAATCTTCACAGAATTTATGTGAGTGAAGAAAGCCATGGAGCTCATGAAAAATTCTTTCTCTTCTCCTGCATACAGATTGATACTTAAATCAAGCACCTCAAACATGCCTCAGTCATATTTTGTGGAGTGGGGAAGCGGTCGTGTTGGGGACAGGGGGCATTATCTGTGTTGGGTTTAGAGAGCTGCAGTGGTGCCATAGGGAGGTTCCAAACATCGTAATTAAAAGTAGCACTGCTGGGACAGTTTTAAAGTTGAAAAGCGGAGTTTCTCTTGTGCTCAGAAGACAAGCATAGCCTGAACTACGGCAAAACACATTTTAATCACATTAGCAAAGTCTAGTACAGCCCATCACAGGTTTTGGATAAAAAGTCTATTAATTTCCTTGAACCCCCTGCATCAGCAAAGCATTTTAATTTACTTCACAATTAGCAGAGCTTCATTTCATTAATGGCAAAATTTAAAGGAAAAACAACAGCCTCCTAATAAAAGAATATCTACTTTCACTTCCACCACCCGCCTCATCAGTTTCCTTCATGACTTCACAATCCCTGCAGTTAAAAAGGGCAATTCCTTAACTAATTCCCCTGCTTTTGGTTTCACAAAAAACATGTTTTAAGCACTGTTTTTATGGCTGTTGTATAGTTTTTCCTGCTGCTGAAGAATAGTAGTGAAAATTAAGAGAGGTATGGTGCTTTAGTTGCCCTTTCACGAGTCCTCTGAGACCCAACTTGACAGCAGCACGGAAAAAAGCAAGGGGAAGTATTTGTAGGATGTGAGAAAAATGAGCAAGGTAGTGAGAGGAGGAGAAAATGTGAGAAAGAGAGAAGGAAGACAAAAAGCTTAGAGTGATTCAACATCTCTGCTTCCTTTTTTATTATCATTTTCCTGGTGTTTGCAATAAGAATGGGGTAGTTCAGTAGAGGCGCTCAATGAAGCAGGTGTTTTTGATTAAAGCAGCGGTGATGGAGCTCCGCGTGCATTTTAATAGCCGGGCGATCACATCCCATCATGTGCCAGAGGTGCAGTGGGATTGACAAGTGAACCCAAAGACAGGGAGAGAAGCAGCAAAAAAAACACATGTATGGAGACAGCTGTGGCTGGGGTACAATGGGCTGCAGAGTGACATAACTGTCAATTTCAGTCTTGCCTGGCATCAAACATGGTCTTCATGACAAAACAATAAAAGATGCTGGACTATTCAAGGTTTGTGTTCATTGTACATGGCAAAACCTTGTTGTCTGAACCTTGTCCTGCCTCCTGTTGCTTGCTTCCTTTTACGTAGGTGAATCACTGTGTATGACTATTCACAGAACAATGCGGTATTCAGAACGGTGTCGCAGTGTAACAGTGGTTATTGTGTTGATGAATGATGAAGGTCACTTTTTTCTTTTAAAAGAAATAATCTAATTAAAGGGCAGTGATGAATCTTAGAATGTGATGTTAACTGCTTTTTGGTGTGTCATTCCTAACCTGGAGTTGCTGGGCTTCGTGGTTCTCCAGTCCTTCTACAATTGGAGCAAATCTCTCTTTATTGTTCCTCTCTGCAGCAATTGTCATGGCAGCTAGAATCTTATCCAGGCTGGAAGAAAACAGACAACAGGGAGCAGGCACAACACAAAAGTCAACAAACACTTTTATCACCTCACTGACAGGACATTTACTCACAATTTTCAGCTCAAACACCATGTATCTTATCTTCCCTTGTGTGTCGGTGTGGACATTTGCTCAGCCAGTCTTTGGTCACCCTGACAAATGCTACTGCTTTCCATCTCTTTGTACGCAATCTGCTCTATTATTGCTGCAGTATCCAATTTTGACTTGACCGTGCTTGTGACTAAGGTGATGTTAGACAAAAACAGGGTTTTACCGCAAATGTGTTCAGTTGTCAAAGCAATTGCGGTACAGTGTATTTGGTCGGGTGAGAAAGGGTGCAAATTATTGCAGAAACTGGCAGACTAATGTGCAAATACACCTATTGAGAAAGTAAGCAAATTAGAGTACTTGCAAGGGCTCAAGGCTGCTCAGCTAAATAGAGCATTGGACAATTTCAGCCTCTAAATTGTGAATGAAAGAGAAATTCACAACAACACACACACACGGAAGACTGCAATAAAAGTAAATTGATGTCTTATGAGCACTTATGTAAAATTGTGATTTACCATGTGTGTTCATAATAATTGGTAACAGGTGGTCTCTCTGACACAGCAAGGCCACATTTGCTGTTTTCAATTGAGAAACTGAACAGTTAAACTCTGCTGTCCTCAACCTTCTAACTCCCGTGGGTACAAAAAAAACTCTTAGCCTGATATGGAAGTTTTACTCGCTGTTTCAATAATTTAGTTAATAAATAAATAAATAGTCACTCTAGGCCAAATTTGAAATGTTAGCTCTAGGGATCCACACTTGCACACTACGAGGCCTCACCTCCACTTATTTATTGCACTACCTAAATAAGTGGACATTGGAGCCCTGCAGTGTGCGAGTCGTTTATTTGTTTATTTCATGACTTGCCCACTTCAGGCTCAGCACCTGCCCCTCTTTTGGTTTGGATGTGCAAATCAGCCAATTTATGCATGTACGAACATGTGTTCCGAGATATGCTACACAGGCTTGCTGTTGCCATTTTATTACCTTATACCAACCCCCAAAAAATAAAATAAAAATACTTTTGAGATGACAAAACACAAGAATAGTTGCTTCGTGAGCGGGGGAGATCATGTGCCTGACCAATAGGACTGTATGTGTCGAGTAAGCCTGACACAGAGATAAATGAAATGGCCATGCTCTGTGATAGGGGTTACAAAGTCACAGACAAGCATGGGGAGCTGCATACTGAGTAGCTTTAAAGCCAGTTCAGACGATGCTTCAAAACAAGCGAGATAGATCTGCTTAACTTGTCGTGTTTCCTTTTGATGCTGTGAGCTGAAGTGGGTGTTGAACATGAGCCAGCGTCACAACATTGGTTGGCAGAGAAGTTTTCTGAGGGAGAAAGTGACGCCTCAGCTCCTTTGGCTGTCATTTCTACAGGATACGAACATTTTAATGCAGGGCTGTGATCATGGCAAAGACTTCCATGTTTACTTCAACCTATTCTTGAACACTCTGAGAATGGGGAGTGAGACAGAGAGTGAGAGCGATCTATATTACCTGCGCTGGTTAAATATAGTTGTGTGTGTTTGTATGCAAGCAGCAGAGGTCTGAGAGTCTGAGCAGAGTGGTGGCTGTAATAGATTATATTCATAGGGGTTTAATTAGCTAAGCATCGTATTCGAGCCGACTGAGCAATAAATTATTTTAAAAACGCTTTGAATCAAACAAATTGTGATTGGTTGTCTGTTTCTTGACATCCTAAGGAAGAATTAACAGCTTGGTAAAACATGTCCACTGTGTAAACTTTGTAAAACAAGGACTCAGTACTTCCAGAACACCATTAAAGCAATTACCTGGTTAAGATAAGACAGCATTTGCATATGTCCCAATTTAATGTGCTGCAGCAGGTTCTACTTCTCATTCCAGTGTTGGTATTGTTAACTTGTTTGACCCAAAATAAGGGGACATTACAACAATTGCACACAAAATCTTAAGATGTATTTGTATAGGTTAATGCTCTTAACTAAAATGCTTGACTCACAGATATTAAAAGGCCCTATTGACCATGAATTAAAAATCATATTGCAATACAAATTATAAAATAATAATAGATTGTTTTTAATAGAAAAATACTGAATAATTAGTTCCACTGTATACATATGCAGCCGTGAGAATTGCCAGCTGGTCCATGACAGATCCATGACAGGCCCTTGCTTATCTGTATGGAATGAATTCATATATCTGGCTTGCACCCAGCTGGGGGGAGGGTAGTACAGTGATAGTGTATATGCTGTCTGAGAATAAGGATATCCTCACATTATGTCTGTTTAATGGGCATACATTTTAAGTAGTAGTTACAGAATATGACTTTTAAAAATTTAATCCCAATAATGTTCTCAAAGCAAATCATCTGAAATTGAAAAATGAATTAGAATTACACCCCTTGAATTTCTGTACCTTAAAAATCATTTTAGAAACCATGCAGTCACAGAACTCCAAGAATAAAGGCCTATTTGGATGGTCAGAGATGTGAGACACACTGCTGAACTCAGCTTCTCCAACAGAATTTGTGGGTTTGTTTATTTCCACCACTGCATACAGACTGACTTTGAAGTGCCATTGTTATTCTAGTCTGGCCCTGTGGGAAACAATAAAAAACACTCCCCTAAATCCAATTTATAAGCTGTCAGCTAGGTTGTGTGTCCATGGCAAACTACACTGAGTAGTTCACAACATTAAAGAGACTGAACTGCATCATCTGACCATGAGACCCAAACGATTTCTGTACTGTCTGAGGTCATCTGTAAATGCAATATATGCTCACGGTGGGTAAACATGCATGCATGCAGTCCTATCTCTGCATGCCACCCAGGGGGAGAAGACTGAAGCAATTGACGAAATGACTTTCCGGGGTTTTTTCTGCTGTTGCAGAAGCATTACAGTGGATGTAAACAACAATTCATCAACAATCAGGATTTTGAGATGGTGGTTTCCATATCAACTGTGATTTAATGTTAATGTTAATGTTAATGTAACCCTCACTCAACTTAGAACAGAACAGAAAATGTACTTAGAGAAAAGTACTTTAAGGGTCAGTTTATCTATATTACATATTTCCCTCTTAACCTACACTTATATAAACTTAGGTAAGTGGAAAAAGAGCCATGCTAATTGTTTTTATTTGCAAAGGTTTTTGAGATATTTGCCACTATGACTAAATCTTTATTTTACTCAGACTGTCCAGAGATGTCTCTTTAATTGTATGCAAGAGTCTGCAAGTGATGTAAAAGGAATCAGGTGTACACTTACATGTTTTCCTCCCCAATAATACAGAAAGCAGAGAGAATTTTGACAGTCTCTGTCATCATGTTGGTCTGTCTGGGGTCAATCGCTCGTGCCAACAGCAGCAGGCTCCGCTCATCTCCCAGGATCCTTTGCAGTCCATACTGTGAGACATGGAAGGGAGGAGGCATCGGGTTTTAATAATGAGAGCATTTGCATTCATGGAGAACTTTCCCTTCAAGTAAAAAATGAATTATACAAAGAAGCGCTAATGTACGTAAATTATAGTTAGCCTTAATTTTCTTTTAAGGGGGGACAACGAGGCCATGGGAAAGAAAATGGAGAGGATGATGAATTAATTCAATTCAGGACAGGACTATAGGGACAAATACTTATAGTCTCCAGTACCTTTTAGTCTCCCCACAACTGAAGGAATGGGCAGAGATGACCACGTGTGGGGATTAACTCTAAGGGAAGCAATATCAATAGTTCATCTATCCTTGAAATGTGTGCCACTTTTGAGAAATGAGCCAGAGCTTCCCAAAAAGGATAATTAAAAGATCTGAGACTGTGGGCTTGAAATGGTAAAATTAGCTTCACTTTACTGTCTCATTATCCCAGGCTTGTCAGAGTCCATCTTTGGAATCCTGGCCAGCTTAGGTGGCCAGGATTCCATTATTAGAAACGTCTAAGATAGTGTACAAAGAGTGTCCTCGTTTGTGCTTTTTTTTTTTTTTTTTTTTTTGGTACAAAACACCTTTTTTTTTTTTACCCTTCTACTTGTAGATTCAAACGTAATTTAAACTTCAGGGCAATTTGAATCATGTCAGTTCGCTCAGGATTTCATCCAAGCCACATCGTTTCATCATGCACGTATACTGAATTCATTATCTTGCCGATCAATTGCGTGGATCATCTTTTCTTTCTTGACTCATACAAACCTTATTGTTCATGAAAGCTTTCAAGCATTGGATAAGTTTGTGCTGGTTCCGTTTATCAATACTCTCTTGCCTGAAAGAAAAAACATTGAAAAGGACATTGTGATTACACAGGACCTGGTGCTATAAAAATTGCACAGAGATAGGATGTCATAGGAGATCACTCACTGTTTCTTGTCAAGCAGCTTCTCCAAAGCATCCAGGAGGAGGCCAAGACCCTCATGACCAAAGTTATTAACCCAACTAGAAAGAAGACAAAGACAAACAAAAAAAAATCAGTAACCTAATATTCAGTCACAATTGTTATTGCCCTGCTGGTGTTTTATAAGCTATGTTGATTCACAGAGGGAAGCAAACACAACCAATATTGTATTAACCTCAGAGGAAATCAGTCATTCAGACCAATAAAGGTTTAACACTCACTTGGATAAATTGACTGTTGTAGGTTTTAATTCCTAACAGAGAGCTGCAAATCAAAAACCACCCCGCCCTCCCTGACAGTGAATACAGTCTGAATGAGTCTGAATTTAAACTGTACCCATCTACAAGCAAATGAACACCCATCCATCTTAACTAGTGTTCCCATCGCTAAGCTGTTTGTATCCAGGCCCCCCTGTGAGCTGCTATGTTCCTGTGCCAAAAGATTAAGCAATGCAAGAAAGATAACGCTGTAATCGATAATGGATCTCAAGAGATAATTGGCTATAAACCACAGCGTATCAGGAGACGGCAAATGATCCAGTACAGATGAGCCCGTTTGTCTAAGCCAGGGGAAGAGGGGGGCAGGAGGACGGTGGGAGGGACAGTGTGGTCACAGCCAGATTATGTCATTAGCATGACTTGTTTTCAGGCCCCTAACTGTCAATAACGCAAAATGCATCGAGCAATTTTCTGACATTAACAGGGCATAAGTCAATGATTTATCCCGCCTTTTTGACAATGATTTGAAATAATAATGGTTTGAGTATTAAAGTCATTTGTATTGACTCAGTGAGTCGGAAGAGACCCTCAATTAGGGATGAGATGCATTAGCCTGAGGCAGCTGGCAAAGTTGAGGTGAGGTATTTCTTTGATCTGTGACGATATTAGCACACGCTACAACCCCCCAACCTACCATTACTCAAATTTCATTAGCTGACAAGCAAAACCAACTTATAACTTATTGATATTTAGTGTACTGTATAATGATGATCTGTTTTCTTAATAAAAACAAAACATTACAATGTTGTAAATTTATAAATGTCTGTTTACAATGAGAATTCCAGTTTGAATGTTTCCTTCCAGCATGTGCTTTGCACATATTTTAGGTAATAAAAGAATAAAGAACAAACCGGCTCAGTTTACTGCAGAATAACAATGCAATTTGTGATACAGAGGTGGTCGGAGTAAATGAGAGACTGGGACAACAAAGAGGGAGAGGAGGCGACACGGCTGAGGGAGCACAATTCAGTAAATCCACAGTCTTTGTTTATGCTTCTTCGTAATGATGGTAATGTCAGTCTTCAGAGAGCTGGAAATGGAACCAATATTTGTGAAGACAAATTTTGTTTATTACACAGCACCATTGTGATATGAGATTTTGGGAATGCTGTGTGACCTCAACAAGGTGTGTGGGAGAACAGCACTGAAGAAAAAAAATTCTTCCACAGACAAGTGGAGTATCATGTCATGTTTTGCAAGCAAGTTGGTTACCACAGCAGAGAAGGTGCTCGCTTCTCTCTACCTTTAAAAGAGTGTGTATTTATGATTTATTCTTTAATTAAATTTAAAAACCCTTGTATTGACTAAAGGGATTGCCTTTACACAACTATTTTTTTTAATCTAAAAACGACTTTTATTATGTATTATTATTGTGACTAAATGGTCACTCTCTTTTCTCTTTCCTGAGAAGATTCTGTCCCCACTGTGTGCTTTCTAGGAGTGCAACAATAGAACGCGCTCTCTCTAAAAAAGACAAAAGGAAAATGACAACAAAAACAAGTACAACCACCGCAAAATACAGTTTGATTTATAATACGACCATTTCATAGACAATACAGATTAGTTATTAATTAAATTTGTTACTATTAGTTATTCAACGACTGCTTTTGCTGTTCTTAGTTTTTTTGCCTTTAGGAGGGGTTGAACAAGTTTATTTCCGTCTCTATTTTTGGTGTAAAATGCAAATAACTGACTCTCTTAAATAAATAAGTCATCCTGTTTGATAGGAAGATCCCTGCCTCTATAAAACTTAAACAAGAATAAAAAATGAAATGAAAAAAAGATTCCTGATGATTCTCATGATGACCCAAACAGAGCAGAAGGGAGGCTCTGGAGGAAAATAAGAGAAATTGAACATCTGGTATGTTTGGAAATTAGCTTTCAGGTACCAGCAGGCCAGAACGGATATATATTTTTACATTCAAATGTTTTATCAAACATCATAACATGAAGTGAGAGCTAAAAACTCATACATTCTTATAGAAAACACAACTCGTAGGAAAACATCACCAAGTGCCAACTATTCACAAAGCAAGTCAGAAAGCTTTACTAATAAATACCTTCAACAGAGAAGTTGTACTAATTAAAACGGAATGTAAATTGGACATTTTGCAACAGATGTTAGTGGAAAGTGTTGGCTGTCTGCTCCATGTTTACCTTCTCTCTATTGTTGTTGGACTGAAACTGGATAGACAGATTGGGACTGTCTGTGCAGAATATTTTTCATCAAAAATGTATGTCTTGCTGCAGGTTGCAACATAATGCGGTCCTCCTCAAGGTTTTTAAGGCACTAAATTTTTTTTGACTCCTCCCTACATCCCAGACTGTCGATCATTTTCTGTCCCCTCACGTATACCCTCAGGTCCTCTGCAGCTTGCCTTCTAAATGTCCCCAAAGTTAGATGGTACTTCTACAGTGCTTGTCTTGAGGCTATGAAATTTCCTCATCTCTGTTCATCAGAGAAACTGTCTCAGTGGACAGCATATTATTACAGCTGTCAACACAAATAACAATACCTATACTAACAACAATACTACGACTCCTATTTGTAGTAATAATAAAGTTACAACCCACTGTAACACCAGTATTATCAATAAAGGTTAGTAGCTTATAGTATTACCAGTGGGTAACCTATTCAGATAACCCTTTGTTGCTCAGGAAGTAGCAAAACTTGCCCTATAGAGGTAGCTAAAGCTCAGATATAACAAACTTTTTCCTTTGGGCCAATTCAACATTAAAGGAACAAGAGATTGAATCCGTTTCTTATCAGTCTCTTCTGCTAATGTGGGCATACATCCAGGATTTCATTAACTTGGAGGAGAACTTGTTCATCTAATATTGATGGCCATAATCCTCTAGTTAAGTGCCACCAAATTGTGTTACTTTCTGCAATCATGTAAATCCCGCAGGCAAAATGAAAAATTCATGGTCGGTCTTAGGGAAGCAATTTCTTATTTTATATTTTGTGTTATTTCTACCGGCTTGATGCAATTATGTTGCAGTTATGCTAACTGCTATAAATTGTATGCATTGAAAATCTCACAGTTTAGCCCCAAAAACAAGTGTTTAGATATAAACAAGATAGTTTACTAGCAAGATGTATGTTCTCTAAAGAACATTTCAGCCTCACTGAATATCCATAATGTTTTGGACTTGCTGTTAACTTAATACAACCAAGTCAAAATGTCTTGCAGTGAGATGCCAATCTTTCTTCCTGTACGATTTGCTTCCCAAAAGACGTTCTGACATGTGCTGACATAACAAACGCACTTATGCATGAGCAAATATTCATTCATCCATCCATCCATCCATCCATCCATCCATCCATCCATCCATCCAATTTCTATACTGCTTATCCTGTTCAGGTCCCTAGGGGACTGGAGCCTGTCCAATCATGTATTTTGCAAGAGGAAAGGTACACCCTGGACAGGTCACCAGTCTATCGCAGGGCAAAGACATACATATACATACAGATAGATATGAAGGGAGAAAACCCCGGAACACGCAAACTCGAGCTGGCCAGCAGATTCAAACCCAAGGCTTTGAGGTGAGAGTGAAGCATTGACCCACCACGAGCAATGTGTGCATGCACATGTATATTGTATGCATATTGGCATTTGTGCACGATATCTATATCTGTTTATATATTTACAGTATTTTCAAGGTTAACAGGAGTGAGTCTTCACTGCTGCTTTGGTGTTCAATCAATCAATCTCTCACTCCATCATTCAGACAGTCTTGCTATAGCTCACTTCAAACTGTACTTCGTTTTTTACATGAACAAATTAATTCGCAATAGCACTGCAGCCGCCATATAGTATATATAGTGTAATTACATGCTCCTTTCTCTGCCACACACATACAGTATGCATACACTTTGCCAGAGTGGACAGAGTACTCCTAGTGCCACTCCAGGCTGTGGTCAGTTACACTGTACATATTGCTAAAAGTGAGGGCATACCATCATAGCAAAGAGTGTGGAAAATGTGTGTGTCGAGTTTTGAAACTACTTGGCAAGGGAAACGTTAGTCTATGATGAAAAGATTATTGCGCATCACCAGCTCCAGTAAGTGACTCAACAGTGACAGAAACAGTGAGAGGCAGACACTCTCTCACCCTTTCTGTTTGACTGATCGCTGGTCTCGTGTTTAGATGGCTTGTACGCGCATTGATTTCAGTCTATGGACCAGTTTTATTATTCTATCATGCCTAGGTGGGGAGCATTGTTATTGAAAGCTTCTGTGCAAGTGCAATATCTTTCATATTGTATTACAGGCAAAGCCATACAACTGTCCCTCTGTGGGACTACTGACCTATTCAGTGCTACAGTATTCCAGTTGAGGCCCATAGCTCCATGCAACAAATAGCTCTGAACATTATAGTTTGAAACCAAGCACCACCAGTGTCTGCTTAGTGATTTACAATGCCAAACATGGAGCTACATTATACTCTGATCAATTTAATAGCCTGCTGAAATAACTATAATGCACAGGGCCTATCAGATGGCAGATATTATATATAAAATATGAACTATACTTTTGTGCTCATCACATCTGAAAAATAATAAGGTGCAACAACTTTTTTTCCTTTTTCTAATGTGTCCTTTATGGCTTTGATTTAATTGAAAACTGTCCACAATTTCAGTATTAAAGGCTGTAACTTTGCAACTGTTGTTCAACTAAGATAAAAAAAAAAAACACTTCAGACTCTTAATTATCTAGTTTCTAATATTGTTATAGGTTTTTATAGTACTGTTTCATCTG